CTTTCTCCAACATCTCCTCTCCCTCCTTCTTCTCCTTCTCCTTCTTCTCCTGTTAACTATTCCTACTACTCCTGCTACTATTACTACTGCTATGCATCATCATCACCATCATCATCATCACACACTGAGTCCACTTAGTGCCGCATGCATGAGCATGGACAGCCTACTAGAGGCCACGCCCTTGAAGAAAAATGGCTCACCCTCAACAGCCATCAAATAGCTCCTCAGCTAGGGATGAGGTCTCACGAATTCTTCCCCAACCCATTCCAGAATTATTGACCGGCTTGATTTTCATCAGAGCTTGTGCAGTAGCCCACAGCCATAGTGAGCTCATAGGTGCAGCAGCCATTTCATGTCCAAAAGTTATCAGGAAACCCTCCTCCCCATCCGCTCACTTACATTCTCTTTGCCCCCTCTTCTGAAATGTGCTCTGAGCCTTGGGGTCTGAAACAGATGTCTCATTTAGGGATGAGCCCTCAGCAGTCATTTCTTTCTCTACAGTTTGAGTCCGTATTGAGTATTGGCCATTTCAGTTTCTCTGATTAAGTGTGAGAGCAGCACTGGTCTATGGGTTCAAACATACATATTAGGGAACAGTTTGACAGCATGTCTGTTTAGAAAAATAACAATAGTATGGCCCTACTCCAAGGCCTATGACCTCCTCATAGGTCATGGGAGTTTGACCAGGTTTGAGGCACCAGGCACAATTTCCCTTCTGTGGAGCAGGACTCAAATCCAGTTGGAATGTAGCTGGTCACCCCATAACAATCACGCCGTTACTGTACCCATGAGCACATCTTGACTTGTGGGTTGGTGGCGTAGCATGCAGCGTCCACCATTGGGCAAGTCCATTGGTGACCTTTCTTCCCCAGTGGCCTGAATATCACCTTTTGGTATTATGACAGTCCATAGGCAAGGAATTTCCGGGTTAATTCCAGCTCTATTTGCTTGTGTGCCACAACCGAAGTGTGTCGTGCCTTCAGCAATAGGGTCCTGCCATCAGCTTACAGTGTGAATTCAAGAGCAATGACAATAGTCTGAGCAGGAATTTTTTAATTTAAACTTACATTTTTAAATGTTTGTTTGTATGTTTTGTTTTGTTTGGATAAGGTCTTGCTATGTCACTCAAACTAGCCTAAAACGTAATATGCATCCCAGAATGGCTTCAAAATAATAACCCTCCTGTCTTGGACTTAAGTGGGCATCGCTTTTATTGTCACGAATAGAATGCTATTTTGAGAAATAAAAGACAGCAAAATAAACCTTTTTTTAAGACTAACTCCATAATTATCAGTAAATTTAACTTCATACAGAACATAGTATCTTTTGTAAAATCAAATTACTTAGGAGACTCAGGAGGAGTTCAACTTGAGTCAGATAACCAGACAAACCTCAGCTCTGAGAATCACCAGCTGTGTGACCTTCAACAAGTTAGGAACCCTCCTTGTTCTCTATTTTCTTTGCATGACTATTGGAGTAATAATACTGTCACTCGCAGAATTGCAACAAGGATAAATAAAATGATTATTGTAAAGCATAATGTGGTTCTGGAATATGGGAATATGGTGAATATTCAGCTGGTTAGCTTTGGCTATTAATGGTGTTATTATTATTACTTGTGTTAATAATAGGTGGTGATCACTAGAATATCCACTTTAAATGCTTAGCGAGTCACTGTTACAGAAACACAGCTGGTAATTAATTTCCATCCTTATTCTTTCTCTGTTTCAACACTGACCAGTTCTTAGAAAATTCCCCCCTCATTTCTGAGATTCTGGCAGTTTTTCTCTAAAATGATTAGATACTTTGAATGGTTCCTGGACTCAAACTGAGGGTCAGTTCAACAGAGTGTTGTTAAGAGAAAACACACCTAGTTTGCCCAAAACCAAATTAGCTCCACACACAAGGAAGTAAGCTAAGCCATAAATAGCTGATTAAAAAAATATAAATGTTTCTATTCTCCTTGTTCCAGACGGACTAAAATTTAGTTATTAAACATTCATAGAACAAAGAACACACACTAAGCAGTTTCGAAAGCATCTGATCTCCCAACTGCTCACTCACCAGACTGACTTAACCCAATGCATTCAGTTTTGATCTACTTAGCACAGGGTATTTGAATGGCTTTTGGAGATGTCAAGTCTTCCTGAAAATGCTGGGCATACTTTGAACTAAATGCTACTACAGCACAATATGTCGTAATGGAATCTGTTTTCCAGCCCAGTCACGGCAGATCTCTCATTTGCGGTTTGACACTCTTCCCTCTCGAGCCCTAAGGAAAAATCTTGTCACTGAATGTACAGGTGTACACCGGCATGTTTCAAACACAATCAATTAATTGACATGTTACAAGTGGAGCGGCCTGGTTTCCCTCACCTCCAGGTTTCCAGCTTGGCTTGTCAATTTCTCTATGTTGCAGGTGGGTAAGGAAAGTGGCAATTTCTGGTCCCCACATGGAGCCTTTGTTATGTTCCTGACACCTGAAGCACAGCCTTCCCCCAATATGCACTTAATCTCTGAGACAGCCCCCCCTTCCCCTGGTTAGTGCTCATGCTGGTGTGCTAGCCCCCGCACACACACACACTGAAGCCATGCCTTCTGTTCTTTCTCTGAAGAGTGTGCCACACCTGAGCCCTCGTGTAAAGAATCCCGACTGAGAGCTGAAGCAAGACTCTCTCCCCACTTTCCCTACCAAAAAGCATTGCTCTGAGAACTAAAAAGGGAAATAAAATCTCTCATCACTGTCAGGAAGCAATAGCCTGCACATTTTTGTCCTCCCCCATTTGTCAAGATGCTAACTTCAGTTCTGGTTGACATCTGGCTATCATGTATTGAGGGCTGGCTATCTCCTGGACACTGGCCTGGGAACAGAGGTCCCCACAGCAGCTCCCTTCCCCTCAGGATGGTTCTCATTCTAGCTGATTCTCAGGAACACTGTGGGGTGCCCTCCCTTCAAATCAGACTGCAGACTGGCTTCTGGTTGACTTCAAGGCTACATCTAGGGCATCTGGTTTCTACAGTGCAAACAATTACTGCACCTGACATAATGTTCCGATGTTCCTGCTGTCATATTGCATTTTCTGACCATTTCCCAGGTCCCTCAATACAAACACACACACACACACACACACACACACACACACACACACACACACA